CACATCTTCAGGCAGAAGTGCTTTTGGAGGATGGGGGGTGGGGGGAGGCAGAAAAGCAAAGGACATTTAAGGATGCTAGGGGAAAAAAAAGGTGCTTAGAAGATCAGAAGTGGTGATGAGCTGTTTGGATATGCTGCAGCTGAAGTGAAGGAGGCGGAGACTAAGGGGATGTAGGGAAAGGAAGGGGCCGAGAGGATTGGAGAGGTAATCAGGCCAGCTGCATACATCACGGCCAAGCACCATGGTGGCAGCTAAGGGTAGCTAGGGAAAGGAAAAGCCTGGAAAGATTCAGGGGGAAGGGGGAGAGGCAGCTGAACATGCTGCACTTGAAGCCAAAGACATGGGCGGTGGCTACAGAGAGTAAAGTACTGAGATTAGTGAGTGGCCAGTGCTTAGATCAGGGGCTGGCAGCCTTCTTCTGCAAAGAGGCCAGAGACTATGTGGCCACTCACTCTCTTCCTCTTGACATTTGGGAGGACTCTTTGGGTAAACCACAGAGATGCACTGCTTTGTCAGGAAAAAGGAAATGAGGTGTGGCCAGAGAGGAAAACAAGAGTGTGCTCCACAGAGTCTCAGTGTGCCTCTTGTGGTTGGGGAAGGAAATGCTTACAGAGGGAGGAGGAAGAAATCTCAGTAACAGAAGGTATGCTATAAACGCATATGTATATTTATATAGACTTGTAACCCACCCAAATTGTTACAATTTATTAGAATACTGTGGTTCTACATCAGGCCTGAGACAAAATTACTAACATGAATTATTTTTTAAGAACCACCATGGGCCAGGTAGACATATTTCTTTTGGGACTACTGGCTGGATGATTTTGGGCGGCAGGCCAGATCCGGCCCCTCAAGGCTAGGTTATTGGCCAAGTTACCTGGCTTAGGCATGTACAAAAAGAGCAGACTAACTTGCCCTATTCACCCTGTAATAGATCTCCAAATTTTGTTTCAGCCAAACCCAGAATAATTGAAATGCTCTTCAATTTTGCTGAATCACACCCCAGCCAAACAGTTCCAAAAGCAGAACTTCTGAAATGCAGTGTGCGTGTTCTAGGCTTGACACACATTTTCTATTTCATGCACAGCCTTAATACATAGCTTGTAAGAATGAAATAATGAAAATCTCAGAAAACATGCTCCATTTTGTCCTAAGAGATATAAAACACAGAAATACATACACACAAGCACACAAAGACATGATGTAATTGATGGGTATTTAAATACCTGTTCTATATAATTCTGTAGCACCCCTGAAGAAGCGAGGCAAAGCTGCCTCCAGCAACATAATGAAGTCTTCAAGCTCTTCAGTAACTCCCACTAGGAAATATTCATTAATCAAGTTGTATTTGGCTTGTTCCAAAGCCCATCTGCTTCCCACATTCCTAAAATGATAAAAAGTAATTACAGGATGGTTTTGATGTCTGCCAAGAATTTTGGTTCCCTTCATTTAGATATTCTCACACCAGGCTAAAATAATGGCTAAGCTGTTATCTTTGCACAGGCAAGAAAACAAAGTTTCAGCCACACTCATTTTTAATTTCCTTTGCTTTTTTCCCTGCTTCCCACTTTTTACTCTCTTCATTGCCTAGGTTAGATGTCAAAAGATTTACAGCTCTGATTTCTAACTTCTTGATGGCACAAATACCTTTTTAAAGTGTGCTGTGCAACTACTGAATGGGGAAAGTTTTGCTTTTGTACTAAAACATTAAAGAATATCATTGTGAATGTGAGAAAAAAGATTCAAAAGAACATTTGGGTTCTTCAGCAGTCTTCTACAACAACTATAGAATATTTGCATTTTAGCAAGATTGCTTTATAAGCAGAAGAAAGAGATTTTCTATTTCTGGAATGATTAAGCATTCAGATGACACTTAATACTTGGAAAGTAGTTGCTCAGGCCTTGCGTTGAATAAATTGAAGAAATGATCACCAACACATTTATATACAAAAACACTGCGTTGGAAATTAAGTTATACTTGAAGTGGCCTCCAGACATCACATGTTTGGGACATTATCATGACAAACCCTCTGTGTTTGCTCCTTTTTCCCTTACTGATAAATTCACAGTGTTGTAAGTTTTTTAAAATGGAATTCAATCGTATCTATTTCCTTCAGTGAAAATGAAAAATAAGCTTAGCCCCTGTTGACTGAATACTTTTTAAAACTATCAGTACCAACCCCCGCTTCCTATTAAATAGTTTTTAATCAAGATATTCAGTCATTGATATGGAAGTTTAGAAAGGGAAGGGACAGCTTAGCTTGAAAATGGTTTACAATCCTCTGCAGCTTCAATCCTTGGAAGACACCAACAAACTACCCTTGTTAATTAAGGCTCACTATGAGCATCTCTCCCTCCCCCCACCAAATCTAAATTCCTGTTACCCGTTCTCATTAGTTCAAATCAATATAATTCACATTAAGAATACATTTCTTCTGTAGTGTCATATTCTTACCAGCATTCAGAGCTATGGCCACAGAAAAATGGTATTTGAAGCCAGAGTTTCTCAGGAGCACAATCTGAGCCTCCAGCTGCTACGCATTCGTCAAAGGTCTGGAAAAAACAAACTCACTCAGAAGTAAGCTATAAACCTCCTTCCTGCATATGAAACTTTTCAATATGGTGATATTGTTAAATGAGGGATAGAAGAACAATAGCAAAAAGTCCCATTTCTACAACTGTGTCTGCACATATCAACTATGCTTGCAAGTCAATCTCCATTGGGTTCCAATTGTAGATACCATTCAATGAGACAGACACCTGAAAAGCAAATGTTATTTGCAGAGATCACAACAGAACTCTTCAAGGTATTTCCTCAATTATATATTTTTTTATTTTTTTATTTTTTTATTTATCAAATTTGTCACCACCCATCTCGTTGGAACACCTCTGGGCGGTTTTTCAGCAAAAATAAAATTCGTTAAAATACAATATAAAACAGACCTAATAATAAATAGCTTCCAAGGAAGATGGAAAGTTGGGAAATAATTCAAGGGAGCATCATCAGGGTGCTAACCACCCCCAAGCACAGTCAGAGCCCATATCACCCCATGCACACTGGCAGAGTCAGTTCTTTAAACCTTTTGGAAAGCTGAGAGGGTAGGGGCCTGTCGCACCTCTGGGGGCAGAATATTCCAATGGGCAGGGACAACAGAGAACACTCTCCTCCTGGGCCCCGCCAGCCAACATTCTCTCACTGACGGGCTCCACAACATGACCTCTCTGCCAAAATAGATTGATGTAATGGGGATGAGATGGTACCTCAGGCAACCTGGACCCATGCCATATAGGGCTTTAAAGGTGATAACCAATACCTTGAATTGGATCCGGAAGCAAACTGGCACCCAATACAGTTCCCGCAGCAAAGGTGTTACATGTGCCATCCTAGAGGCACCTAATATCATCCGCGCAGCTGCATTTTGAACCAACTGTAGCTTCCAGATACTCTTCAAGGGTAGCCCCATGTAAAGCGCATTGCAATAGTCTAACTGAGAGATGACCAGGGTGAGTGACTGACCAGAGAGCCTCCTGATCCAAGAAGGGGTGTAACTGGCACACCACACAAAGGTGGGCAAAGGCCCTCCTGGCTACGACTGCCACCTGCTCCTCGAGCAGGAGTCGTGAGTCCAGGAGGACCCCCAGATTACACACCGGGTCTGTCTGGGGCAGTGCCACCCTGTCCAAAACCATGTTAACATATATGACAAACAGAGCAATAGTCAGTTCTGTGAGAGAACATAATACCATAACTAGAAATGAAGATTAAAACAGCTCAAGGGAATATAGACAAAATATGCTAATTTTAAAAATGGTTTATATTATATTAGCAGGAACTAATCTGAAGGAATTATATCTGCTGATTAAAGAGCCTGCCTGTTGGTAAGCAAGTCATACTACTACTGCTGTTGCTACAGCAGATCATGCTAATTTTGAAAGTTCTGAATCCTTGTATACAAAAGCTCTCCACTTAGTACATAACTTTCTAATACTACTGGAGCAGAATTCAAACAAATGTTGCAGAACAATTCATGCTTATATCCAATGTAAAATTCAAGTAGCACAAAGGGCTCTATATGATTATCACCAAGCGAGTACATCAAAAGTGTTCATAAAAAAGAAATGTATGGTCAGGAACTGATTTTGAGACAGCATTAGTTATAGCTGACTGATCAACTGGATCACAGCCAACTTCCTTCCTGCTAACAAACTATACAGGCATTGTAGTGAGAGTAGGGCTTCTGGACTGAATTTTCCAAGTAATGCTATGATAAACAATCCTGTAAGTAGAATTCATCTGCTTAAAGAGAAAGGTATCTCCTGAATATGGTTAGTATGGCATCAAAGCAAGAGGAAGAAACATAAAGTCTGGCTGAAATGGATCCACTGATCGCTGTAGTGTTGCCATAACATAAAATGAAGACCCGCCTGAGGGTGGAAATGGATCTACAAGAACCTGTTCCATAAATAGCAGGAGTGCTACCAGTATATGCATACTCCATATACATTGCTTCATACAGTTGCTATGAAAAATAAAGGAAGAAGGCTCAACTCAGTAGGACTGTACAAAAATGGGGCAGGAATAAATTCTCTTATGTTCTTTGTTTCCATATTTCCTGGTTGAATTACCTATTCTCTGTATTTGTGGGTCTAACAGTTTAACTTTGTTTCATACTGAGATTATAGTGATAATCTCTCATAATGTTCAACCCCAAACCATGAAATACTGTACTGGGAAGGGATGGCTATATTACTTGCAGTTTGAAGGATTCTAGCATACAACACTCTGTAATACATGGCAAAAGTTTCATGATTCAGCATTAACTAGCTGTAATAATGTCCCCCCAGATTCAGGTTAATGCAGAACAATTTATGGTCTTCACACAATTCATAACAGATTGTACTCTGCTCACGGTATGAACTCTCCAGATATTTGCTAAGAGACGGGAAGCTATCAGAGGCGTCCGTGGAGGAGGGCAAATGACAAAAGCAATGTTGCACTGTGTAAACTCCATCTCTTTTGGGCATGCATCATTACAGTTCCTGCACATACAAAAAGGGTGAGGTTTGCATTGTGACACCATGACACTACTCTCGTCATTTTGATGAAACCTCTGATCCTACAGATGCTTCTAGAAGATATCTTCAGTTAGTCTACACATATTTATGTATTTACTTGTCAGCTGGCAAAAAGGCAAATGTGAGAAATCCAGAACAGAGCTGGGAAAACAAGTATGTTCACAATTTACAGCACAAACTTCTAACATGATATAACCAACCTAAGATCTGCAATAAAGGATTGTGGGGAATAGCAAAAGAAATATATGGAGGAGTGCTTAAAAAAACAGCTTATTCCTGCTTTCATGAACAGATGCTTTAAAGGATCAAAGATTCTTTACAGAAGACTCCTGTGAATGGAATGGTAAATTTTGGTCCAATTTTGGTTTTGAACATTATTGTCTTATGTTTTTCATTTAGTTATAAATTACATAGTTAAGATTGAGCCACAAAGAAAGTGAACAAGGTATACTTTTACTTTTTTATCCCCTTGCTTTCGCCTTCGGAGTCCAGGCCTGTAATCATCACCAAAGCGCAGGAAGTAATAATAAGAAACCAGCCGTTCTATAGGATCTCTTATGACATTGATGTATATTGGTTTCTTTTTAACACCAAATCTGAAACAGAAAAGATAATCCAATTGACAAATCAAAGCATTTCCTGCATGATTTAAAAGTGGGTCCCATGTCAAGTTTGTTTCAAAAGACTGTTCCTCTTCCCCCATATTAATGTATTCAGGAAAAAACAATAAGTAGACAATACATTTTCTATTTCAAGGGTCTTTTAAGAATGTTCATATGCTAGATAGTTTTCAAAGGAAGGTCACTAGACCTTATCCTAATACATTCCATTTTGGTGGATTTTAAATGTGCATATTTAATATTTACATACAGACATTCAGTTTATTTTGTCTAACAAGTATTATCAGCAGAAGTCTCGTCTGGTACTTCTGCTTCCAGCAGATGCAACCTTTTAAAACTATGGATTTTAAATGTGCATATTTAATATTTACATACAGACATTCAGTTTATTTTGTCTAACAAGTATTATCAGCAGAAGTCTCGTCTGGTACTTCTGCTTCCAGCAGATGCAACCTTTTAAAACTATACTTTGCCACAAAGAAGATAATGCAGCTGGTGTTACTACAATGACCAGATGGAGGAAAGGTATGAGAATGAGGGAGGTGCTCAGAAATAGCTTTTGCTTTGATAAAGTCATGCCTTTTAAAGGGTTGTTGCAGAAATGATAATTAAGCTTGATGCATACAGGAAGCTGGAAAAGTGATGATTAGCTATATTCAACAGATCAGAAACCCTGATTGGATTGAGTGCAACAGTTTTGTTCTTTTGTTGGCATGTTATTTTAAGCTGTTTATACAATGATCTTGTGAAAAAAAAAATTTTTTTTTTTTTGGTGCTTTCAAGTCAATGTTGACTCCTGGAGACTGGTTGGACAAGTCCCTGCAGTTTTCTTGGCAAGGTTTCAGAAGTGGTTTGCCATTGCCTCCTTCCTGGGACTGACGGAGAGAGAGACTGGCCCAAGAAAAATCACGGTCTCCCAGTTCCTAGAGTGATGCCTTAACCACTACACCAAACTGGGTTGCCTGTGAAAACTTAGCATATAATAAAGCTTTAATCATCATCACATAGTGCATATTACTGATTAGCAAAACACAGTTAATATTGTACTGTAAGGATATTTTTATAGAATGTTGATGTACACAAGACTAATTTTGTGCTATCCTTATTATTTTAATGTTCCAGGCAGTCTTCATGAGGTTCAAAAACAAATGCCTTTTATTAAATGAAATATGAACATCAACTTGATGCAGCAGGGAAAGCTTAGTTGAAGAAGTGGAATTAACCAGAACACTGGGGGAAGTGCTCATGAAATGTTGGATTTCTTGATTTTAAGGAAAATTAAAGTCAGGTAGTTAAGTGTACGTGTGTGTGTATGCTTAAAAGTTTGTGAACCCTTCTGAGTTTTTAATATTTTTGCATAAATATGACCTAAAATGTGATCTGTTCTTCACACAAGTCCTAAAACTAGAAAAGAGAACCCAATTAAACAAATGAGTCAAAAACCTTATACTTGTTCATTGATTTATACCTGGCAGGAAAAACTAATGGGAAAAGGAGCTCAAGAAGAGAGTTCTTAGAAAAGGAGATTAGAAAAGTTCAACTGCAAACAATGACAATGAGGAAATAAATAGAGGAAAACAGAAGCAACCAATGTGACTATACAGAAAGTTTAATAAAAATCTGAAAATGAAAAAGGATACATATAGGAGGTAAAAAGAGGGACAGGACATAAAGGTGGACTGTATAAAGGCAACACAGAACTGTAGAGACTGTGTCAGAAAACAAAAGCTTAGAATAAACTAAGATTGGGGAAAGGATGCTCAGAACAAAAAAGGCTTATATGGTTATATTCAAAATAAAAGGAAAAGAATCAGTATACCAGTTGCTCAATGAAAATGGCAAAATGCTAAGAGGTAACAAATAAAATAAACAGCTGCTCAGTTCCTATTTTGGTTCAATCATCTTCGACAAAGAAATTACGCATTCTACCAAGCAGTTCAAAAGAACAAAACGAAGGAAAAGCAGTTTGAGACCGATCAGAGCCTGGTCATGGAATATCAATTTATTGTGAATGGGTTTAATGTCCAGGAACAGATGAATTGCATCCTAGAGTACTGAAGGAATTTGCTGATGGTCTGGCTGAAACTTTATATACTGTCTTTAAGAAATCCTGGAGAATAGGTAAAGTGTCTGACAACTGGAGTAAGGTAAACATATTCCCTGCTTTCAACAAGGAAAAAAAAAAGGACTGAGCTAATACAGAGCAGGTGGTTTGACAGAAATACTTAGAAAAATTATAGAATTGATCATAAAGAGGTCAGCCTATAAGGACCTGGAAAACTATACAATTATCAGACATCAGCACCGATTTGTAAGGAACAAGTCTTGCCAGACCAGCTTTCCTGATTTTTTTTTATTGGTAACTTCTTAACAGATAGAGGGGAATGCTACAGATGTGACATACTTTGATCTTAGCAAAGCATTTGACCAATTACTCCATGATGTTCTGATTAGCAAGCCAATTATGGGGTAGACAGACTGGCATAATACTTATACATATATAATACTGGCTCAAAAATTGTACACTAAGAATGCCTACCAATGGCTCATCATCAAGCCTAATATTCTAAAAGACAGAATGAACTATCAAAAGAATCTTGATAGTTTAGAAATACAAGCTAAAATCAACAGAATTAAATGTAACAGTGCCAAATGCAGTGCAAAGTTCTTCACTTACAAAACTGAAAGCGAATGCGTAGGTATAGTTAGGCAATATCTAGTTTGGTAACAGTACTATGGAAAAAGATCTTGGAATACTCTTTGCAAAATGAATATAGGACAGCTGTGTGATATAGCTGCAAAAAAAAAAAAAAAAGCAAAGGCATTTTTAGGTGTTATCAATGGAAGTATAGTTTCTAAATAATGGGAGATTCATCTCAAACACCGTATCCAATTCTTTACCCCCTAAGGCATTACCCCCTAAGGAGTCTGACAAACTGGAACGTGCTAAGAGAAGGGCGGCTGGGTTGATCAGGAGACCAGAAACTAAATCCTATAAAGAAAAAGGGGAGGGGGAGAGAGAATGAGAATGTTTAGCCTTAAGAAGAAAGAGAAGGGTTATGAAAGCACTTTTCAAATACAGAGGAAGGCCAAGAACTGTCTTCCATTGCCCCAGGATACAGAACCACTATGTGCTGAAGTGGAAGATAATTATCTATTGAGGATGCTTTAAAGCTGGATGTACTAAGCAGGAAGTTGGATTTTTTGACCTAAATGGCCCCTTACAACTCCTCTATGAAACATTCATCAAAACTAGCTTGTATCTTGGATTATTTCTAATAGGGTTCTGAATTTCCCATAAGAGGGGGGAAGTGTTTTTAATGCTTTGCAGCAAACTTAACACTGGCAACAAAACTGCAGGCCAAAGGTGTCAGGAGCAGGCAACCCAGTTATGGCCTGTTTTGCTGCTACTCTTGATTTTGTTGTTTGTATTAAGTGCTTTCATTTTGACTTTTTGATACATTTATAGTTTTGTTCATATTAGAAATGCCTCATGGGTATAAATGCAATGAACATATTCTAAGATTAAACTTTCTATCGCAGCAAAGAAAAAAAGAGATGAGTCAACGTCTCCATTTAGCATGTTTCTCAACTCGAGTTTCTCATTCCTTTACTCAAGCAGAAGTGCCAGCTCAGCTATATATGTGGGAAAGTAAAGCTTAGGAAAGAGGAAACGTGAAGCCTACTGTTACAATCATCCATCATATACCTTACGTCCTCTTATGGGAAGATCAGTCTAACATATGCCTTTCATCTCATCTATGGTAGACTATACAGTCAGCTACCAACACAATCCCTCAACAGAGAAGAACAGATTTGACTTTCCTCTGCAGATGGGAGAGGAGAATCAGTACTATTATGAAAAAGACTCAGAATATAACAAGATCCCCTAGAATTCAATCAAGGTAAAATTTAAGCACTAAGAGAGACCCATTGGTAAATTAGTACTGAATAGTTATATTTCAAAGAATGAGAAAGCAACAAAATTGATTTTATAAAATTCTTGGGTATATAAACTCATTATCCTGTTTGATAACTTTTCTATAATATATTCAACTACAGCTATTGTAAAACTTTTTAACTTCATTTTAACTTTATGTGAGTGCATATTGAATCAAAACACTAGGGGAGAGTTTACTAAGGAAGATAAATCTGTAGCAGTGTTTCTCAACCTTGGCAACTTTAAGATGTGTGGACTACACCTCCAGAATTCCCCAGCCAGCCTTGCTGGGAGTTGAAGTCCACACATCTTAAAGTTGCCAAGGTTGAGAAACACTGATCTACAGCATTCAGAGACTGTATACTTCTCCACTCAGAGAACATCACATATATGTTACTCAAGAGCAAATACTGCACTCAGTTTATTACAAGTAGTCCTCGAGCTACGACCATTCGTTCAGCAGCCGTTTGAAGTTACAGCTGTGCTGAAAAAATGGACTTACAACTGGGGATGCAGGGTGACCAAAAGGGAAGAAATGGTGGGGAGACAGGCAGGTGGGGGGCAGTTGGAGGCAGTCCCTTATCTTACTGAGGCTCATGACTGAGAGGGACCAAGCCCAGAATGGCTTGGATTGTATGTGTGTGTGTGGGGGGTGTCCTCGGCTAATGACCGGTGAAATTCGCTTAACAATGGCAATGGGGAATGTTGGGATTGCTGTCACTAAGTGATGTGGTCACATGATGTCTCGCTTTAAAAGTACATCACTTAGGCACCAGAAACTCCAGTCTCAGTTGTGGTTGTAAGTCGAGGACTACCTGTATTTTAAAAACTAAAATTGCAAATATAAGAAAGCAAGCTGCTTGGAGGGCAGGTGCAGGGGGCAAAAGTCACTTAACAAACAAAAAAACGTAAGGATAATGCAGTCCTGGGGAAAATATGCTTAAAAATGAAAAACGTGATACTGTTTTGTTGCCTTTCTTGAGTAAGATGTTTTAAGTTTTAAACTATGAATAATGTATAGAACAGAGAAACTCTTACATAAAAGTTCACAAGGTTATTAATTCATTATATATTCAATCCAAGACATGGATTAATATAGTATGTTACACTTCTGAATTTGGAAAAACAAAGCAGTTTTATACTCAGGTTTCTTCTTTGATACTGAGGTTGGGCAGTTATTTCTTTGTATGTAATATTTCAACAACAAAAAAATTCTCTGCCATTGTAGCCTGCAGCATTACATGCTATTATGTTTCATGAATATATATAATATGAACTTTTTTGAAGTTGCAATTTTTACCACAATTACCAAAACAAAACAGAGGAGACATAGGACAGGGTTACCTCCCCACACACACACACATTTTTTGTAACTTGATTTAAAAGCTATCCTGCTTCCAAGGTTAAGCAAAACTGAGAATTAAACGAGCACAACATATAAGCAGAAGAATCTGAAGAAAATATGCAAATCCTATCATATTCGATCTATATCCTTTCTATTCTTAAAATAAATGTTCAAACCCAATTTCCATATACTGGAATAAGGATCATGCTCAGGAATTGCATGCCAGCCCTCTGCTCTCTGTCTCAGAGACTGGCAGCGTATAGAACTGTAGAATCTACAGGGGCAAGCATCTGCGGAGGGATCAGGAGAGGTCCCAAAGTGATACAAGTAGTGTCGTGGTACTGCAATGCAAGCCCCACCTTTTTCTATGTATGTTGCACATTGCGCACTGCCCTAAGGGGTGGAGCTTGTGGCACAATGCTATGCTGCTTTAATCCCTCTGATGAAAGCAGGAAGAGCCTGAGGATACCAATGCACAGATGAACCCAAGCAACTGTGATTGTCCCATGCAATCTATTTCAACTGTTCAATGCACAACTTTTAGAGAAAGCTGATTTACCACATATAGGGCAAAAGATTAACTAGCATATAAGTAGGCATTTATTATTTTGACTCAGAGAGTAGACTGTAAAGTATGATACACATCCTCCACCTGACGCCCTCCAGACATATTTGGACTACAACTCCCAAACTTTAAGCCACCAAGATGGTAAGTTATGCTAAATGGAAACTTAAGCATTGTAGTGTCACACAATGAGAGGATGTAATATTTGTCAAGAGGAAGAGAATCTGATGTCACTGAACCAACACTATTATTGTGTCTATCCTGTAGGCCTAAACAGCTAAACACTGACCTTTAAAGCGAGGTTCCCACATAGTTGGAATCTCAGGCAGTAGAGTTACTATTAAGTACCCATTTAATTAGCTCAAATAATAGCACAGAAAATGCTATGCTGAATGGAAGGCCACTGTACAGAAAACACCACAGCAGGTACATAATCATGGTGGATTTAATGGCAAAACTAACAATTACATGGGGTACCTGAGATTTTCACAACAACAACTTTTGCTAAGAAATCCTTTGACGGAGAGTAGGCAGTCACTCCTAACATTTGAAGATGGGATGACATTAACTCTACCATACCTCGCATTACTATTTTTGCAAACCATCCTTGCACTGCTTCATAT